TTCCTGTCTAGAGAAAGGATCTCTTGCTAGGGCGACTGGGAGCACAAATATGAATAATCAGTCTAGGTGAGAATCTTTATATCCCATGCTTGAGACCAAAATTTCCATAAGAAGCAAGAAGTAGCTTACATTAACAGGAATGATTTGTAGCTAGTAATAGAAGGTAGATGTATTGAACATTGATTAAAAAAAACGAGCATTCATGGGAAGATTAGAAATGGTAAAAAGTGGGATCATAAATAGTTCTTCATTTAGTTTTCCCTGTTTCTATTTTCTTAATAAGAATGCATCCTAATGTATAAGCATGTCTTTGTTATGGGTGATATCAAAAGTCGGTCACATGCCATCTTCACGATCACCTTAGAACAGACGCGCGAGATCTCTTCGACCTCAGAGGTTAAAGACTCAGTAGATGAGGATATGGGTGAGGAGTATTGTTGTGCCAAGCTTCATCTGGTAGATCTTGCAGGATCTGAAAGAGCTAAACGAACAGGTTCAGGCGGTGCTCGATTGAAAGAAGGTTGGGGAAACCGACTTCTGTATCCTTTTGAGAACATTGACTTGCATTTTGAATCACAGTTCTTTTTTTGTTCTCTGAAACAGGAATTCACATCAACAGGGGGCTTCTTGCACTTGGTAATGTCATCAGCGCGCTTGGGGATGAGAAAAAGCGAAAAGAAGGCGCTCATGTTCCCTACCGTGATAGTAAACTTACTCGGCTATTGCAGGTTCATTTTTATCTTTTCACTTCTAGTTCCTAATATGTGTAGGTACTCATTATCACTATAACTTCATGAGGCAAATGTTGCATTAAATATGTCCTTTACATTACTGCAGGATTCTCTTGGTGGAAATAGTAAAACAGTCATGATAGGTAACTTTTAAGTCGTATGAGTTAATTCCCCTGTAAATCTCATATCATTTCACAAATTTAGCCCTCTCTTTGTTGGTGTTATTCTTGTAGCTTGCATCAGTCCAGCTGACATCAATGCTGAAGAAACTCTTAACACGCTCAAATATGCAAACCGTGCTCGTAATATTCAGAATAAGCCTGTTGTAAGTACCGAGGAGCTACCTTATATGAGCTTTCAATTCTGCAGACCTCAGCTTACACAATTAAAAATGTTCACATAAGGGAAATAATAGGGAATAAGAATGGTCAGTTTAGGGCTCTAACAGGACAGACTTCTCTATATTGTTGCACAGGCCAATAAAGACTTAATAGGTAGTGAGATGCAAAAGATGCGTCAACAGCTACAATATCTACAAGCTGCACTGTGTGCTCGTGGGGCAACCCCATCAGAGGAAGTGCAGGTATGTATAACTTCTGCTGAATTTCATCAAAATGTTTATAAACTACTCATCAGTAATAGTATTGAGTTTCATTTTAAAGGTTATGCGAGAGAAAATCATGAAGCTAGAGACTGCCAATGAGCAGCTTTCCCGAGAACTTCACTTGTATCGCAGCAAGATAGCTCCTCTTGACTACTGCAATATTGATGCACAGGTAATTTCTGTGTACATTAGAGAATAACCTCTAAGTTTATTTGGTGGTTTGCTTCACTGCTGAAAACAAGAGTTGTTCACTTAATGATATACTCAGGAAGATGGTGTTAGTTTTACAAAAGATGATGGTCTCAAAAGGGGATTCGAAAGTATGGATTCAGATTGTGAAATGAGTGAAGCAACTTCAGGTTTTGGACACTGGCTTCTCGGGAAACTTATTTCATGAAATGCACTCTGCATTCTCCTACAATCATTTCATCTTGTAATCTTCTTCTCTGATTTAAGGTGTCATTTCTGAAGATATTGATGGAGATACAAAAGAGTGGGAACATGCACTTAGGCAGAATAACATGGGCAACGAATTAAATGAACTAAGTAAACGTCTGGAGGAGAAAGAGGTTTAGTCATTACTCAACTGAATTTTTCTATTCCTATTGATAAAGATTCGATTTTTCTGATAGCCTAATGATTTTTACATTTTCAGTCCGAGATGAAAATATACGGCGGATCTGAAACTATCAGACAACACTTTGAGAAGAAAATGATGGAACTTGAGAAAGAGAAAAGAACTGTACAGGTGAAATAAAACATTCTACTTCTTTCTTGTTGATATTTTACTTAAGTTTCAGTACCCAAGTAATGAGTGAAGTCTACAGGTTGAGAGAGATCTATTGTTGGCTGAAGTTGAAAAACTTGCTGCTAGTTCTGATAGACAAGCACAAGTTGCAAGAGACACCCATGCACAAAAACTAAAAGCACTCGAGACACAGATTTCAGACCTTAAGAAGAAACAAGAAAATCAAGTTGAGGCCTCAAAACAAAAGCAAAAAAGTGAAGATGCAGCAAAGCGGTTACAAGCTGAAATACAATGCATTAAGGCTCAGAAGGTTTGCTTCTTGTTCAGCTTCAGCTAGCAGATTATTTCTGTTATACTAGATCACATAATCAAGATCTACATTTTGACCTTTCTTCTGGCGTTTTGTTTTTCTAGGTTCAACTACAACAGAAGATGAAACAAGAAGCTGAGCAATTCCGGCAATGGAAAGCTTCTCAGGAGAAGGAATTGTTGCAGGTTCTTCATCATCCACCTATTGTCCTTCATTGTCTTTTCAACTACCGATCTCAAGTTGTATGTTTTAATTGTATTTGTGTAGCTCAAGAAAGAAGGAAGGAAGAGTGAGCATGAAAGACTCAAACTCGAAGCCCTCACTCGACGTCAGAAAATGGTAGGAATCTTATGACGTATTTTTCTTTTCTTTTTTTCCCGTTTAAGAGAAACATTTCCAAGATTATCCAATTCAAGTGTCGAAATAGGAATCTCAAGAGAACAAGCATCTTAATGTCTTGCAGGTTCTTCATAGAAAAACAGAGGAGGCAGCAACGGCTACCAAAAGACTTAAAGAGCTGCTAGAAGCCCGCAAGTCTGCACCACGTGATACATCAGGTAACATAAATTCCAGAACATACTTTCTTGGCTCTTGATTTGTTCATAATCCTTTTGCTTTCTTTTCCAGTGACTACCAATGGTCAACCACCAAGCAGACAGGTAATTAGAAGTTTAGAACTCCTAATTTAGATATGGATTCACTATCCTGCACAAGTATCAACTGTTTCCTTTCATACTCTTTGCAGGTGGACGAAAAAACTCTTCGGAAATGGGTTGATAACGAGCTAGAGGTTATGGCAAAAGTACACCAAGTTCGTTTTGAATATGAAAAGCAAATCCAAGTGTACGTCTTCAAAACTCTGTTTCAGTCATGTTGTTAGCTGCAAACTTCTTTCTCTCATATATTTTAACTAATCAATACTCTTCTCTGGTTGCATATAGACGAGCTGCACTGGCTGAAGAGTTAAACTCCTTGAAAAGAGAGATAAATTTTGCTTCAAGTCCCCATCAAGAGAAAAATGGACAGTCGAGGTAAAACATTAGATGAAATGACTACACTATTGACTTGAGAATGGATTGATTCACTTTCTGACCGGTTTATGTTTCTCCATGCTTCAGATTTTTGTCACCCAACACAAGATTGGAGAGAATAGCTTCTCTTGAGAGCATGTTGGATGTTTCCTCAAACGCTCTCACTGCCATGGCCTCTCAGCTCTCGGAAGCAGAGGAAAGAGAGCATAACCTACATGCTAAGACTCGGTGGAACCACGTTCAGTCCATGACTAATGCCAAGTTTTTGCTTCAATATGTGTTCAGTTCTGCTGCCGAAGCAAGGTAACAAAACTAAGTAAAAACACTAATTCTGTCACGAATAGGTTCTTCTTTCCGAATGCTCACACATGGATGGTTGATGTTGTTCCTGTTCAAACATCAAACAGGTGCAAAATCTGGGAGAAAGACGTAGACATCAAAGAGAAGAAGGAACAACTAAATGATCTCCTCTGCTTGTTACAACTATCCGAAGTCCAGAACCGAGAGATACTTAAAGAGAAGAAGACAAGGGAGCAAACATTGTCCATTGCGCTGGCTTCATCATCATCGTGCTCGGTATCTTATTTTAAAAAAAAATTGAAATCCAAAACTCTCTTTCTGGAAATCTCTTCTTCAAATATATGCAAAATTTAACTTCTTGCAGGGAAGCTCAAGAAGCTCATCAAAGCACTATGGAGATAACAACGCGAGCGACCAATCATCTCCATCTTCATATCACCGAGCAACAAAGCATCTCAAATACTCTACGCCTGGTATAGTCAATGTCTCGGTGAGAGAATCAGCGGCATTGTTGGAAGAAAAGAGAAAGATGAAAGCTATGAAGAAAATGGGACAGAGTGGGAAGCTGTGGAAGTGGAAGAGGAGTCACCATCAGTGGCTGCTTCAGTTTAAATGGAAATGGCAGAAACCATGGAAACTCTCTGAGTGGATTAAGCATAACGACGAGACCACTATGCTCTTTATGTCTAAGTCTCTGGATGATGACGACGATGATCACTCGTGGAGTCGACACTGAGTTTTTACAAGATGCTTCAAGCTATGTCTTGCTTGACACGTTATACATCTGTATATACACGAGCCTTTTCTTGTTTTGTTGATAGATTTAGAGTTCGTTGATTGGGTTGTTATTGCACAGTTTCAACAACATTGTTATATCAATAAAGGTATATTAAAAGTTTTTATGCAAATACCATTCGTAACGATGAATAGAGTACAAAGCGTTAACGAAGAGTTTCTGTGTTATCAACTAACCTATAGAGGTCGTTAGCTTTCGCGCCGGATACAAAAAAACAAAACTTTCATTACAAGTTGTGAAATATTCTTTCTTAGCAAACCAATCACACGTGCCCGTGGTGCCACGTAAGCTCCAATGCCCAAAGGCAAAATCTCTCTTTCCTCAGCGCGTGGACAAGATTCTCTAAATTTCAAAAACAAAATTCACAAATTTCCCATTTTCATCTTCAAGAAAATTTACACTTTCAAGTACACAAATTTCTCTATCTTTTTTCTCTTCTCTGAAACCAACCCTCAAAAACACTGAAAATTATTGTTCTCTTCAGTCACTCATCACCACACTCTCCTTTATGTCTTGAATCATTTTGATCACTTCTTTCATCGTCGGCCTTTCCTCCGGCAACGTCACACGGCAAAGACAAGCCGTTTGAGTCATCACTTCAAGCCCGTTCTCTTCCTTTGTCCTCTCATCTTCTTGCCTCATCGCTCTCACCCAATCCAACATATCATTTTCCTCCATAAACGGTTGCCTTGAAGCCGATTTACCAGTCAACAGCTCTAAGACGAAGACACCGAACGAGTACACATCGCATTTGGATGTAGGACTGTCCGTTGACTTCCTGATCTCTGGCGCTTTGTATGAAGAAATGTCAGGGTCAGTGGGAACAGAAGGGTCTGTCAAGACACTGAGACAGTAATCCGTGAGACAAGCTTCGAAATCGTGACCGAGGAGGATGTTTGTGGACTTTAGGTTTCCATGGAACTGTGCAGATGATTGGTGGATGTAGTGTAGCGCTTGGGCTACATCTTCTGCTATCTTTAAACATGACGTCCAATGTAATGGCTTTGCCTTTGATGTTTTTGAACCTGGATCAATGACAACAAATAATGGAAAATTGCAAATGGTGAAAAAGAAATTAAAAGACTTCAACTATGATATATACTTTCAATCATATACGAGCAGAACTCCTAGATAACACACAGAAATTCCTGACAAATACGACTGAAAATTTCACGTGAAAACAGCTCAGATTTCGCAGAGAATCTGTCATCTTCCTCTACAGTTATTCAAAAAGGACAAAATGACAGAATTTATTTAACAATAAAGTCCGCCATTGTCTCTATGTGGTCAAATCTAAATTTAACCTCAATTTTGTTTGAGACCAACAGAATATTTCGAAATGTTGATTAAAAATCAACAACTCGGTGGTGACTCAGTGAGTAACAGCTGAAACCCTATTAGAGAGGAGATGAAACGTTTACCGTGAATAAGACTGAAAAGACTTCCGTTAGGTTGGTAATCGTAGATGACAAGTCTCTCTCCGTTTGACTGAAAATGCGCTTTCATCGGCACGAGATTCGGGTGCCTGAGTTTACCAACTACCTCCATGTGATTCTCGAACTCCAAATCGGTAACACTCGCTGTTTTCGACGGAGCGAATCTCTTCACCGTCACGATCAGCTGGTTAACCAGCACCGCTTTATACGTCGTCCCTACCGATCCTCTTCCTAAAAGCTCCGCCGAAGCTCGCATCAGCTGGTCAAGCGAGTACATTGCTTCTCCGGATTCACTACTTCCTCCTCCGTTGACATCGCCGCAGAAAATCAGATCTCCGCTCCTTGGGATTCGCTTTTGAGGATCCGTCGTTGGGATTTGGATTTTGAAATCTCTTTTTTCCTCTTCGCGCTTCTGAGATTTGAAATTTGAATTCGAGTTTCGAACGGCCCGTGCGGTTAGAGATTCAGTTGGTGGTTGCGTGAACGTACTTTCTCCTTTTCGAGTCGGTTGAAACATCATCACGTCGTCTAAGTCGTTATCGTCTCTCCGTTTCTTCAAAACCAGCGAGAAGACGAAGAGGCAGAGACCGAGGAATATAAGCGACGCTAGGCCAATGGTGAAAGGAGATCAAGTGGGTAAGAACAAGTGCTTAATGATCGATATTCCCTTGATAAAGAACTCACGTTTTAAATCTATGCAAGAGGTTAGCAATAGAGAGTTTGGATTGCTCGATGAGACTAGTTGAGTTGATATTGTTCGCTAAACTTGCAGGGTGTATGTGAAGCTAACCTTATGTTGCCTATATTCATAGTGGAATACAGGAAATGAACCCTTCACAGGATATTCAAAGAGGCAAGGGAGTTTCCACGTTTTAAAACCTCTTTCACGGATTTAGATTATGTTTGCTTGGGGACAAGCAAAGATCTAAGTCTGGGGGAGTTGATAGACCTCTATTTTACATGCATTTTATACTATTTTAGTATGGTTTTCTAATGGTTTTTAGCAGATTTTCTATCTAAAAAGGTAGTTTTATTGGATTTATAGTAATAAGAGTCTAAACAGGTGAAATGATGCATTTTGGAGTAAAACCATAGGATTTGCACTTCAACCCGCTCCATACCGAAGTATTAACTTTGAGAAGGTCTGAAAAATAATCTACTCAATGGATTTCATCAAGACCACTTCGCCACGTGCCCTGAGTGAGTTAAATTTCCAACGCAAGTGGATTGGCATCATTTTTTTTTTAACACTGGATTGACTAATCTATTAGACAAATATGAGAACTGTTACAAGACAATTCTACAACGGAGGATTCTACATCTTCAAAGGCTCCCCGGCCGACGGCTCCACGTGCACCATTCTGTAGACCTCATGTAAGCTTGTCTCCAATAATCTGCATATATTATTAGCAAATCGCATCATTTGGATGAGTATAAATGAAGTTATGATCAATTTAGTGAAGACTGGTCCAGACAGCTAAACCGAGCAACCGCGTTCCAACCGCGCGCACCGGCCGACCGAAGAACTATCCTCCCACGGTCGACCCGCGTCCGAACTCCCGCCTAGTGCACGGCCGAGCTCACGCACCGACCCGGAAAGCAACAACCCACAGTCGTCATGTCCAAGTTTCACCACCATAAGCCGTGCACGACCGCACCGCACGAACAGGAAGGCATTGCCTCACGACCGCGCAACATGACCCATGCCGCACGCACGATCGTACCGTCCGACCAGGAAGGCTTTGTCCCTCGTCCAGCCAGAACATTCAAGCCTTATCATCCGTCCGGCCGAACCCGACGACCGAATGAGAAATCTCTCGGCCACGATCGACCCGACCGTGCCGATAGCCGATCATCACCCAGTAGCCGGCCGAACGTCCTGACCGACCGTTCGAACGGTCCGGTCGACCCGAAGCCCGTTTTGAAGCCTGTTTCACATGTTTTCACGGCCCGACTTAACCTAATGCTGCCTCTGAAGACCTAGTACTATAAATACAACTTTTTAGCCTCTTGAGAGAGAGAGACGCATATTGTATCACGATTTTACACTTAGAGTTTTGTTCTAGAGATTTCAAGGAGAAGATCTCTCCTCCTCACTTCAATTTGGAGAAGTTTTCTAAACCTTTATCTATCTATGATGATTTCTTTATCTCTTTGTGTTATTGCTTTGATCATGTCTGAGTAATCCATTAGTTAGGTTGCTAGGGTTACTATCGCAGCATGATCTTTGAATTCGATGTTTAGCTAGGGATTATCTTAGAGTCTTTGTCTCGTCTTGCTCACTTAATTAATGTTGATTGTTTTACCGTGCATCTAGTAATCCGATTTTAGGTTGACTTGAGCCACGAAAGTGCTGAATCATTCGCCGGACATATTCTTTGACAAGCTAGGTTTCTTAGACTGAGAAAGTTGATTTACTGTAACCTAGTGAACTGTATCGGAACCCGCTCGATCTAATGCTTGATTTAATCACCTAGAGACATACCAAAAGTTTAACGACTAGGTAGATTAACAAAGGAACCGGAGCCTCGAAAGTGTAAACGTTTTATATTCATGATCTGTGTTCTAGACGGTTTTAAAATCCCCATATCCCACATCATATCATCTATCATTGTTTCATTGATCATTGCTTGCTTCTCTGCGATTAGCCCCTATTGGCCTAGCGTTTACTTGCTAGTTTACTTGCTAGTTTTAGTTACAGTTACAACCTCTCAATCATACTTTTTTTTAGCTTGATCCAAAATCCATAGTTTCAAAGTGTACTCAATAGCTAGTCCTTGTGTTCTATACCCATACTTTCGCAATCTGTGCACTTCCAGAGGTCTAAAGAGTTTGGTAAAATCTGACTCACATCAGTAACTCTCTCAGCTAGATCTGTTGATGGATATGAAACTGATCGAGATGGAACTAGACTTACTGGTTGTGTAACTCTCTCAAGTCTGGCCAAGAGGTGGGATGGAGACAGGTAACTATGGAGTGATAGACGCCACAAAGCTTGATGGAAGAAAGATTTGATAAGTCTTCAAGCCACAAAGAGAATTGAATCGCACAATTTCTTGATGAACTCAAGAATAAGTTGCTTATGCAAAAACGGGTTTTATTTATTAATCAAGGGTAAATAATACAATACTGTGAGATAAGACAATGCTGTGAGAGAGGACTTTATAGGAGAGTCCAAACAGTTGTGCCCTTCTTGGGGTCTTTGAAACAAATTACAAAGAAATAAACAATAGA